AAGCCCAGGTGTCACCGTCACCGTCACCACAACCTAAGCCACCGAGGTACAAAAAAAAGAGGTTAAAAAAAAAACAGGCCACCCGCTCCAGATGTCTGTCAGCCGTTACTTTGCCCCCCCCCCCAATCGCACTGCATGACAACCTTCCACAGCAGGACCAGAGAGGTTAGAATGTTGCCCAGATACAACAGCCTTCCACCCAACAGAACATAGGAATCAGGTCAGACCAGGTATAAAAGTGTGATTGTGGAGACCCCATGGTTTGGAAAGGACTCTTAGGCCATGGGGGAGGGCCGAGGGCGCTGATGGGGGGGGGCACATACCGAGCGGACTTATTCCCCCAGAGCCGAAGACGCCTGTTTCCTTGTGCTGACATGCCAAGCCGATTACCGCTAAATAATGACTCAGCAAAACACAGCTAATTAGCCCATCTGCCAGGCAGGTTGTGAGCTCTTGCCCTAATTCTGGGTGGTCATCCTGAAAATTAAGGGCAGAGGTTAAAACTCCCCACCCACCTCAACGCAAAGACCAACTGCAGGAGGGCTGGGCCCCTCCCAGCACTGATTTCTGCGTGATGTGGGAGCCGTTGGGCCGAACTCAGACGGTGGCGGCGAGAGACACTGCACATCACCAAGCTCGTGGTGACCTTTGGTGTCATTCATTATGCATATTAGTTAACTGCCAATCTAACTTCATTCATGAACACTGATGCTTGGGGGGGGGGGCAGATAAGGGTGTCACTTTTAGGACGGCTGAACTGTGTGTGTCACCTGACAAAAAAACTAATTTAAAATTAAAAGCATAAAGGCCCCTTTAAATAGGACAGAACGCCCCCCCCCCAGAGCACACCTTGTCATACCTTGTTCCTAGCCTGTGTGTTTCACCCCCCCCCCCACACTCGCCTGTCCTCCTGACCTCACGGAAATGGGATTCTCTGTCTAATGCACCACCTGTTCCTACCCTCCTCCCAAACGGCGAGTCACGAGCCACCTGTGGGTTACCGTGCCATCTAGTCCCGCCCCTGTTGCCAGGGCGAGCTGGGGGGGGGGGGGGGGGCTGAGACACCGGGGAGAGTCATCTCAGACGACTGCGTGAAATCCAGCGGACATCTCCACCCTCTAACCTCCATCACTATCCCCCCACCCTCACTGAAGTACGCGCCTGTCACCGGAACGGCCCATTTTAATTTTAACGGGGAGAAAGTTAATTAATTAGCTCGTCGGCCCGGATTGACTCGCTCCTGGTAAGAAACACGCTCAGCGCCGGCGTGGCACGCAGTATTGAATGACCAGCCCGCTTTTTTTTTTTTTTTTGATAAATTACCCAGCCGAGAGGAACAGTGGGAATAAGAAGACACACGGGCGGCGGACAGCCAATCCAGCGACCTCCACCTCCGCCGCCGCGTGCGCCGATCAAACCCGAAAGAGGCCTCGAGAAACGCACTCAATCAGACTGATTTGTTTTGTCTTCCCAGAATGCCTCTGGGAGCCCAAATAGAGAAGAGAAATAAACCACTCACTATAATCAAGTCGCTCAATCAGGCTAAAAATTTCCGTTTAATCCTGTTCAGTCACAATGATTACGGGGGGAATTTTGAATATTTTTAGGAGCACGACGGCACACTTGGAATTGAGCTGGTGCTCACTCAACTCGATGGGTGATGGTGTCTATAACTAGCCCAGATTCATCGACTTGACTTTCATCTGATGCCTGGTGATAACTAACCGCATTGATGGGGGGGTGAGGAGACGGATCCAGCTCGGGTCACAGTTAGCTGTGGTACAGCCACCAAACCTGTTTCACCAAACGGCGACTGACATCACAACCATCCGCGAGTCACAGGCCAGCTACCGGACCATGTGTCTACGCCGTCCGCATGTCGACACACGGGGAACCCTCGCCTTGCCGCAGACGGAACCCCAAACAAAGCGGCCGTTTCCAAACGCGTGAAATCAAAGTCTGCAAAGTGACTCTTACCTTTCCGAACTGTTCGAAATACTGCTTCACGTCCTCCACTACCGTGTTTGCCGATAATCCACCTACAAATATTTTCTTTGTTCTTGTGACCATCTGGAAAGACAGAAAAAGGAGATTTAAGTTAACAGAAAGTGAGCGAGAGAGAGAGAGAGAAAATGAACATCAGAGGCATAGCAGATCATCCAGTGTTACACCAGGGAATAAAGCCAGAGCGCGGCACCCCTTGGTGGAAATAACGACGTCTAATCGTTCTCTGAGAACGCTGGGAGGCGAGTTCAGGACGCCACCTCGCCACACGTATCCCGCAGCCACAGGGCCACACATGCCTTGGGGACACCTTGGGGACTCACACACCGTCAGCTACCGGCACGTTCCGCCACCTGTAGCTGACGCTGGCCGTCCCCGGTGGTTCTCCAGATCCACGTCCGTACCGGGCATTCCCCGTACTTTGAAAGAACCTTCCCCCCTCCCCCATCGAAAACCATCAAACGCAGAGCCAGCTTTATGCCCAGACAGCTGATGATACAAGGCAACGAAGCCGGGGGGGGGGGGTTCATCTCCAGTGACCCCTGTAACAGAAACACCAGTCTGGGCTGCTTCCGTCTTCATCCCTGCCTGTCCTACACCACCCGAGACACCCCCCCCCCCATACAGATCATCTGCCCATCTTCCCCCCAGCCCACGTCCCTGCCTCTCATCCTGTCTGTGCCACGTTAAGTTTTTAAACATGCTTTGACACCCCCCTGACAGGGAGGATAGTGGCTGATAGGACTTCTCAGACACGGGAAAAACCCAATTACCCCCCGTCCGCCAACCCAGCGACAAAAGACAACAAGCTTTCCATTTCCACTACATCTCTGAAGCACGGCTGCTGGGAATCCACACGGGGGGGGTGGGGGGGGGTCACCTAGACAGAGTCTCCAGATCTACATACGGCATCCCCAGAGACTCAGGGAGGTATGTGTAGGAGGGGACTGAATCCATCACGATTCACATCCGCCCCCC